GGGGCTGCCCTTGAAGACGGTCCGGATACTTCAATTGGTTCAAAATAGAGCTGCCAGGCTGCTGATGGGGACTGGGCGTTATGTTCACATGACTCCAGTCCTCCGTCAGCTTCACTGACTTCCCATTGAAGTCCGGGCCCAATTCAAGGTGTTGGTGATGACCTATAAAGCCCTTAACGGCTTGGGTCCTGATTACCTGAAGGAGTGCTTACGTCCATATATGCCCGCCCGCCCCTTGAGATCAGCGGGAGAAGCCCTTCTCCGGGAACCCTCCATGAAGGAAATTAGGAGGGTAAGTACTCAGAGGAGGGCTTTCTCTGTGGTGGTGCCCAATCTATGGAATGCGCTCCCCAGAGAGGTCCGCCTGGCGCCATCATTATTTGTTTTTCAGCGCCAGGCAAAGACCTTTTTATTCAAATGTTATTTTAATTGTTAATATTATTTATTCATTTTATTCTTTGGCCAGGGTGACTTAATTTATATTGTTAATTTATATTGTTTTATTGAATTCTATTTATTTATGATTTGGGAGCCGCCCCGAGGCTTCGGCGAATGGGGTGGCATAGAAGTACCCTAAATAAATAAATAAATAAATAAATAAGGCACCCCCCCCCCCCCCCGGGAGGAAGCCCTTCAGCCTGCCCATGAACACACATGGTCGCATTTGGTGTTGTGGGGAAGAGGCAAAAAGGTCCATCTCTGTGGAAATATCTCAGGATGTAGTTCCCACTCATGTGGGGTGGTGTTGCGGCCCAGGGAGTCTGCCAGGGAGTTGAGGTGCCCTGCGATATGGATAGTGGAGATGGTGATGACATTTGGAACTGCTTCAAGGAGAGGGACAACTACTAGTGTGGTGAGTAGGGTCAAGTGGGTCCCACCCTGTTTGTTCAGGTAATACATGACAGTGGTATTGTCTGTGCCCACCTGACCATGTCATCCATGGAGGGAATCCTGGAAGGAGGTGAACACCTTCTTCACTGCTAGCATCTCTAGCAGGTTGATGTGGAGGTGAGAAGCATGCCTGTCCTAGAAGCCCTGTGTGTGCATGTCTGCGCAGTGGGCACCCCACCCTGAGTGGGAGGCATCAATTGTGACTGTGGCAGAGGGTCCCGGGGTGGAGAAGGGGACCCCCATGGTTAGATTGTCCGTGATGCCCCACCAGCAGAGGGAGTGCCTGACCCATGGGAAGGGGGGAACAGGGTGGTGGCCTTCGTCCACTACGAAGGCTTCTATGAACTAGAGCTGAAGGTGTCTCATTCTGAGGTGTGCAAGATGCAGCACAAACACCGTGGTGTCCGTGAGGCCTAGAAACCTCTGGTGTGTGCAGTGGAGGATGGAGTGGTCCTGATGGATGTAGCCAGCTGGGCCAGGGTCTCTGCCTGTGGTAGAGGGAGGAAAACAATGATGGGAATGGAGTCCAGGCAAGCCCCTATTAAGAGGATTGTGTGGGGGAAAGAACAGATTTATCGTAATTGATCATGAGGCCAAGGTCCCTTAGGAGGTCATGTGTGGGTTGTAGCCCTTTGAACAGGTTGTCCATAGAAGGAGCAGCTAGGAGCCAGTCATCTAGGTAAGGGAAGTCATGGATTCCCTGAAGCCTGAGGTACGCACATACCACTGCCATGCATTTGGTGAAGATGCAGGGAGCAGTGGCCAGTCCAAAGGAGAGGACAGAGAATTGGAAGATCTCCTGGCCAATTTGGAAGTGGAGGAAGTACTTATAGGCCGGGGGGATAGAAATGTGGAAGTATGCATCCTTAAGTTCAATGGTCACCTTGCCTAAGGAGTCACCTTGCCTAAGGAGCAGGAAGATGCCCTGGAGGGTGGTCATCCTGAACTTCTGAGGGGGTGGGGTGATGAACTTGCTGATGGCCTATAGGTCTAATATTGGCCTGAAGCTTCCGTCTCTTTTGGGGAGAGTGAAGTATCGAGAGTACAAATATTGTGAGAGGTCCAATGAGACACATTCAAAAGACACATTTTTAGACAAAAGGCTCTCTACCTCGGCCTCACTAGGGCAGGTGAGGGAAAGGTGGTCCTGATGCATCCCCGTGGAGGGAGGGTGTAATCAATTCTGCAATCAGAGCACATTATGAAGAGGACTCAAGAGTCAGAGGTGGAGGGGGGCAGGGGGGTGGGCTGCCTCGACTTAGTTCTTAGAGCCTGTGCCTGGCATCTTGGTGCCTGGGCAGGAGCCACGGGCAAGGCTGAGTATCAAACCTTTTGGAGGGGCTGCCTCATCCAGGGTTGCGGGGGAGGCCAGTCTGGGAAGAAGCAGCAGCTGGGGGGGGGGCCCTGCCACTTGCAGGAGTGGGGCTGCAGTATGAAGCCCATGCGCCTAGCAGTAGTGCAGGGAGTTCACACTCTCATCTGTATGGGCATTGAACAGGACCTCAGAGTCAAAAGGCAAGTCCTGAGGGAAGCCTGTTGACTGCAACCAGGTGCGACAGCAGACTGCCACAAATGACAGCATACCTTTGCTATGACAATCTACCTGATGTCCAGACGACTCCATCTAGTACCTGGACAGTTTAACAGCTTCAGATTGGATCAATTTGGCAGCATCACAGAGGTGGGTCAGGAGGTACTCTGCCATAACCCCCAGCTTTTCCCAAAGGAAGAGCTGTTACCTAGACATGAAAGCCTTGTAGCTGGAGATGTTTATGCCCAGGGAAGAGGCCAGATAGCCCTTTTTTGCTAGGCCATCCAAATGGCACCCTTCCTTGTCCACAGGCTTGGAGTGGTCCCTCTGGGAGGTCCCTTGCATAGACTCCAGTATGACTAATTTAGGCTTATGGTGCTGGTACAGAAAAGAGAATATTTTCTCTGAAATCTTATATACGGAGGTCAATCCTTTGTGACACAGAGAGCAGGAGTTTCCCAAGAGCCACAGGAGTTCTCCAAGACTGTTGGGTTGTGCATAGTAGGGCAGGCAGCAAGGGGAACAAGGCCAATGTTGAGTAGTCTGAGGACAGGAGGTTGTACACAGGGTCAGCCTTGGGCTCTGTAGGAGCAGAGGCCCAGTGGTCATTGTCCAAGTTCTTGAAGGAGCTCCTGCACCAGTGTTCCCCTCAGTGTCTGCAGTGGCATTAGTGATCGAGGCTGGAGGAGAGGTCGCTGTCCCCCTGATGCTAGGCCTTGCTGGCACGGTGGGTAGGATAGGACTCCTTGGTGACAGAGGATGCCTTGAGTCGACACTCCAAGTGGTGGCATCTGCCTTGGCTGACACGTGATTCCTCCTGTTCTTGGCAATGAGGCATCGTGAGAGCTCGGCATCAATCCTCAGTTGCCAAGTTGTTGCCACGGACCAGAGGTGGGAGCAATCAACATGGAGGTCTGGTTGCCGGGAGGTAGGCCTCGCATGAGCATGTGGGCTGTCAGTGTAGTGGTGGCAGTGTTGGGAGGCCAGTGGTTGACCAGGGGACCGTTCCTCAGAAGAAGCACTGGAGGAGGGGTCGTCCAACACGACACGGCACCTCCTCTGCCATGTAGTCTTCTGAGCTGGCAGGTCCAAGGAGTCCAATTGGTTGAGTGAGTGCGTCAATGCCGGCAACCATGAGAACAAGCCATCTCAGTCAGGGAAGGAGGAATGGAATGACAGTGCAGGCCCCACTGCAGCAGCGTTCTGGGTGGCAAGCAGGGAAAGCAATGCCTGCTGTGGGCCACGAGGTGAGGTCACAAGATGGCAATCTGGTGACTCTTGCAGCAAAGAAGTCAGGGCACGCAGTGGAGGTGGCATGTGCTGGGGTGGCACGAGGCTACAACCGAGAGCATCCACCCAGAGAATTCTGCTCAAAGGGCACAGGAGTGTGGTATAAGAGGACCCCTGGGACTGGTGTGCATGGGTGGTCCATGCAGGGTGAGTCAGCTGCCAAGGAAGGTGGTCTGGTGGCGCAGCGCTTCTTGTACTCAGGGCTGCCATGGTCCCAGATGGTCCCTCCAAGGGGGCAGAGGCAGCAGCCCTCCTCTCCGATCATTTAGTTGGTTGAGAAGACTCCACAGAGGAGGGCAGCTTGTTGGCGTCCAACCAGGAAGGTACACTCGTGCTCAAAGCAAGCTGCAGGGGGTGAACTGGAAACGATGGGCCCACTGTGGAATATTTCTAAGGCTACACTTTTATCTCCTGGAAATTTCAAGCTCTACTTCATAAAGTATCTACATAAATAGAAACCATTTTCTTAACTTTAATGTGACAACAGTGAAGTCTGTTAGAACCTTAAAGAGAAGTGGCTGTGTGAACACTGATTACACACAATATCTTAAACAAATGTATTTAAAAAGGAATGTGGTATATGAGTTGACTGACTCTTAGATTCTATGGACTGGAAACAAACAAGAATTCATGGTTCCAGGTATTAAATAAGAATTTTAAATATAAATAGCAAATTCACTATGATTCAATATTTTTTACTACAATTCAAATTCAGCCATTGTACTTAGAAAGCTAAATTGCAGGAGAACATATAAATCATACATACATGAGACAAGCAATGCAAATTTTACATGTATTTTAGTTTTAATGCCCCAGAAGCATAGCAGTACAAATGCAACAAGCACACACTCATACTGGGGTATATCTTTCAGGAAGGTGTATAGTTTTGGAATTATTTAATTGAAAAGAACACATTTCCATAGTTTATCAAAATGCATGCTCATGTAAAAAAAATAGTGAAAAAGCATTACTTGCTTACTATGGAAATTAACATTTCAAGATCAATTTTCTTCAAAAAACAAAAAACCCAAAACAGTTTCTCTTTTAACTACTAGTCCTGTTCAGAATGAAACTGGTTGTTTTTATGAGCCGCAAACAAAATCTCTACTTTCCCATTCTGTTATGCTCTTAAAATTAAGAAGCTACTGAAGCAGAATCATGACTAATGCTACTTTAGTAGTAAAGGAAAAGTTATCCCATTACCGCACAAGCATAATAAGCTGTTTATAGCCTTAATCTTTTGCCCCTATGACCCATATTTATAAACATTTAAAAGATTTTTTTTTACCTCGTCTCCGTCCATAGCTCCTGGCTGCATGTAAATACAGAAAAACATATTGGGTACTGGCATAATAATAGTTACTCTATTTATAGGTTTATGGAAAACTCATCTTTTGAGTGAATTAATTCACATAATTCAGTTTGTCCTAGTATAAGCTAAACTACACAATCAAAGACTTCTGAAGATAATCTGATCAACACTTTCCTTGTTAACAATCAATTTGTAATAGGTATTTAGAGGAGACTGACATTTTTCTAACAATCTGCCTTGAGCAATCGGTATATAGTCAGCACCGTTTAAAAAGCTGTCTACAGAATGTTAGGGAGATAGAATTAAATTTATAAATATATATGTACAAAACACCCAATTAAGTTTATTTACATCAAATTTTAACTGGATGTGTGAGTGATTGAGTATACAATTCAGAATGTGTGATTTTCTGTTAACTCAATGCAAACAAAACAATACTTTCTTTGCAAACTTTATCAAAAGTGAGCTATGATATTAAAGAATACAAGGATTATTCAAAACAATTAAAAACATTAGAAGAAACAGTGGAAGGATACTTATTTAATAGGGCCAGGCACCTGAGACAAGCCATTTGGTAACTCAAGCCCTAAACTAGTTAAATTGGTTAGTGCAAATTAGGTATACATTGTTTTAAGCAACTAAACATCACAAATACGAAGCATCACAATATTACCTCTCTGCACTGCAGTGACACAGAAGATGCCTAGAACTGCAACACCCTACCACACTAAGAACAGGAAATAGATGGGGTTTTTATTTTCTAATACTGTTTCTTCCATGCACCATTAATCCCAGAATTATCTGCATTTTCTATATGTATTCATCACCATGAACTAGGTAACACTGCCAGGTTGAATAACTGAGAGAAATTTTTCAAAAGGTATGTTCTTATAGTTACTGAACTGGACATGATTTTAAGCCTACATCTTTATGGGATTGAGCCAAGCAAATAATTCCTTTTAGAAAGCCAGCACAAGAGGCATGCCAATTTTTGTACAAACTTGTGAGATATTTTCTACTAAAAGTAACAAATAACTTATGTCTGCAAGTCAAAAAATTTGATTTTTTTTTTTCTCTGTAAAGGTACATTTGGGGGATGTCATTGAAATATTTTTTCAAAAGCCCCAAAGATTACCAAACACTTCTTAATTGCTTTAAGTTTATAATGTTAGATGAATGTATTGATTCAGCTATGGATTACAAACTTAGAAGAGACATACTGGATAAGAATAGGAGGGATTTGCTATAAACATACAAGTGTCCACTGATATTAGAAACTTTTAAGAATGCTAATTACTACCATAAAGATGTATACAAGGCATTGTACTCTAATTGAATGGTGACGTTTTAGAGACCTTTTTAAGCCCTCCCTTTTCTTTACTGAACTTGAAGCAACTTACAACAAACCAATAAATGCTGGTTATAATAAACAGTATTCAGAGAAAGTAATAAAAACTGAAAAAGAAAAAAAAACTCCAATAAAACATAAAAGCAGAGTGAAACTCTTAGGAAATGAACTCAGTGGTTAGTCATCTAAGCCAAAGGTCATGCTTTAGTGAGGTGGAGAAAAACAAAGATGGAACCAAGCGGGATTTTCCAGGCACTACAATCAAGAAGACCCTGCTCCTTGTACTCACTCCCAAAACTTTTGATGACATAGCCAACCTGAGCACGGCATCAGAAGTAGAATGGAGTGAGCATATAAATAAAGGAGGAAATAGTCCTTAAGGCATTCAGGTTTCAACTATTTAGGGTTTTAAAGTTAGAGCATCAGTGAGCCTGTTCACAAAATCAGACAGCCCACCAAGGCTTATTTAAATAAATTAAGGTAGGCTGCATTTTGTGTACCAACCACAGAAAACAACTGTGTCTTGTTATATCATCTGAAAACCAAACAGGGATGGATTATCCAAGGGTTAAACAATCCTTGCAGAATTCATGACTTGCTTTAACATTGTGCAATGCTTCTTTAATCCTCAAACAAGCCACCTGTACTAGGCTCAGATGACATAACAAATTGCAGTCATGGCTTGATTTTTCACAGGTGCCATGGCTCATTGTGACTTAAATAATCCACAACCAGCTATGCTGAACACATGAAATTGGTAAATGTCTTGCATTTTACAAAGGACAGCCCCCTGTCTGAAGGACTGTCCAGCCAAAACAAAGATGCATAAAATAGGAAAGCAAGCTGTTTACTAGAAGTTAGCGTCTGGAGAACAGACTGTAGCTGTTAGCTACAGTCAATACCTGATCACTATGGTGAAACATGTTTATTTTAAAATTAGAGCAACTATTTCTAAGTCTGCCTATATACAAATGTTATATGCCAATATAACATATGCCAATGTTATGCACATCTAATACTTTTTGGAGGGGTGACACATTTCCTAATTTGAGGCAGTGGGTAAAGTTAAGAATCAGCTTCCTGGGCAGAGCTCAGAAATAAAGTGGGAAGCAAGTATCACACAAAACTGGAGTAATAAAATCCATTTGGACAGTCCTGTGAGCCCTATTGCCTAACTAAAAACTGTTAAGAGTTGCATCTGAGTATCATCTGTATCCTGATAACATTTCAGCCTATATCTTCATATTATTACACTCAAAGGTTTCACATAGCTGTTAAAAACCAAGGGCATGCAATTTGGGAGGTTTACTTCATTTTCTCTGGAATGGTATTGTTAACAAAGATTGTATGATCTTAAATATATCATTTAACCAACATCTTACACATGTATTTGTAAGATACATGCCACATCTGTGGGGGCTAAATAAATATCAGATTGCTTCTACATAGAATTATTCTAATGAAACCAGTAGTTCTCTGAACTGGAAGGCTAGTTCATGTCCAGAGACTGAACTGTGGACCTGAGATTTGATGGATGTAGTTCCACAAAAGACTTATCAAGGTTTCTTGAGCTACTTTAAGATCATTATTACATTTCATTTTCTAATAAAATCTCCATACAATTTCATGTAATATCTCATACACCAGAAAGACATCAAAACAGATTTCTAATAATGGAGGACTTCAATTACTTTCATGTAGACTGGATAAATAAATGTTCTGGTCACAGGAAAGAGATGAAATTTATAGAAACACAAAGAACTGATCCTTATATCATTATGCCAGGGAACCACAGAGATGATCCTGGACTTTATTCTTAGAGCTTTTCAAGCCTTTCAAGATAATTGCTGGAAAGTATGATTAAAGATACAATTATTAAGCATATAGAAAGTAAGTTTTGCTGAAGAAATCAACTTGACTTCTGCAAAGTTAAATTCTGTTCCACTACTGTTTAGGGTCATTTAGGAATCTCAACAAACGTATGAAGAGATACATTGAAAAATGAGTGTCAAGATAACCCAGGTTGCAAATGAGTAATGTAGCCTAGGCTGTTCATTAAAGAACCAACAGTGTGCCTGACACACAATCTGGCTTGCTGTGGCTTGTCCCCCACTTTAAATTCCCACTTTGGTCTTCCCAGTGGTATCCTAGGGTACTTGGTGACAAGAGATTTGAAAAGACAAAAAATCACTGACCACTTCATGAAAGGTAGAGTTTGCTGCCGGACATACTCTGAGGGAAGATGGTTTCAGACCTCTCATGTGCAGCATGTATAGGAAGCTGGATGGATGCCCAATGTTGATCAAAGGTCCTCCCCCCACACCCCGGGAAAGATCACAAAGATGTTCAATTTAGCTTTGTAAGAGTGCCTCATGTTTGGCTGCAGGGTTGCATCCAGAATCGCCTATATTTCGAGACAGAGAGGGCCTCCCGATCTACCATCCAAACTTCCATCCCATCAGATGGATAGTCTTGATGTCTAGGTGTAGGATCATCCCACACTCCTGAGTAATGATACCTGGTTTTGTCAGGTGCCAGATGAAAGACCAAGGAGGTGAGATCCTTCCTGATCTTGGCTAGCACCCTGGTGAACCTGTCTCCCATCAATCCCTGGATGATCCCAGCCTGGAAGTAGAAGGCTTTGCACACCACATTGATTGGTGTAGCAAAAATGTCCATGGATGGGGTTCCTTAAGTCTCAAAGAGCTGCCTCAGGATGTCTGGGTGAAGTTCTCATCTGTGGGTCCCCTCAGGCCTCCTGTTCAGGTTATCTGCTGTCATTTTGTCAATTCTAGCTAGGTGGATGGCCACAATGTTAAGGTCCCTCTCCAGCCACCTGTCCCAGAATTGCAGCATGAGGGAGGTTAGGAATGCAGGCCACATGCTGCCTTGTTTATGCAGGATCTTGGTGAGCAGTCTTAAGATGAAATCTGTCCATCTTTGCCTCCTTTCTGCTGGCAAGTATGCTTGTGCTTCACTGGAGTCCATGACTGCTTAAGAGGGAACAAGTGATGACTTACATTAATGCACAGTCCTAGTTGGTGCAGAAAGGTACATGTGGTATTGACTGAGTTCAGTAGATCCCTCTTAGAGGATGAGATTAATTGTATGGGTATGGGTAGACATGAACCCCCTGTAATCTCAAATGGGCACATACCGGAGCCATACACTTTGTAAACACTCTAGGTGCCGTAGTGAGGCTGAAGGGGAATACGTTGAATTCATACACTTCTGTACCAACCATGAATCTCAAAAAGTGTCTATGTGCTGAATGTATGCTTATATGAAATATAAGCATCTCTCACAAGTCCAAAGATGCAAACGAATCCTCTTTTTGTAATAACAAGAGAATGTTCTGTAAACAGTCATTCAATATTTTTTTTGTTGTTGTTTTGATAAAGCGATTCACTCCACACAGGTCAAGGATGGGGCAAAGGCCTCGATCCCTCTTTGGTACCATGAAGTATCTCAGGGAGAAACTGTGCTGTCTCTCCGAGTGGCCAGTCTTTCAAATTGCTCTCATACAAAGTAGTATGTTTACTTCCTCCAGCAGGACAGGTAAAGCCAATGTTTGTCAGAGTGCTCCAAGACGGGGAAGAGTTTCAAACTTGATTTCATATCCATGGTCTTTAACGAACAGAACTGGGAAGAT